AATTTATGTGCATTGATATATTACTGACTTGCATAAAGACAGTTTATCATTTTATTTTTTAAAAATTTGTGTTATAAAAAGTTAATTAGTGGCCTAAGTTTCTCTTCTGCTCTTTTGGTTTGAGGTTGAGGAACTGATTGCACAGATCCGGGAAGTTTTCATTCAGACTCTAGATGACCTTACTTGGATGGATGCAGAAACCAAAAAGAAAGCTGAAGAAAAGGTAAAATTCAAGACTAAGCTAACTGTCAAAGAAAATCTTCTTTATAAGAAAAGATTAACTTTTAAAGAAGTTCAGAAAAAATGCATTTACAAGGATTTCATAAAACAAAAGCAAGCTCCTTCAAGGTGTAATATTTCCAGGAAAGGTTTTTTGAATGAAGACTTTTTTTCCTATGATTTTTATCCTTTATTATCTCTTTGCATCCAGCTCTTACCTGCTATGTTCAGTTCAAAACTTTGAAATATTTACAACTTTCCCTTTTTTAAGTCTTTTAAGAAAAAGACTTCAGAATATGAAAAGGAAGTCTAGTGAACAATAATCAAATAATAATATCAGTGGTTCATATTTTTCCTCCTTTTATGAAACATATCTGCAAGTCCTCTACCAATGGCTAAAAATAGCCCTTCATATAAAATTTTTTAAAAAAATAGCCCTTCAATTTTTCATGCAGATTTCCAGTTAAATCTTTTAAAATGTGTCCTATTAGTTCTTATATGAATGAGGAAGGGACAAAGCACTAAATTTCTGCTGAAGCATATGTAAAGTGGTGCACTATTAGAAGATTATAGGGCAATGTATAGTTAAGGAGACGTTAAAGGAGCTTTTCCTATAACTATTCGTGTCCTCACGGTGTACCTTTCATTGAAACTTTTACTATCTTATAAGATAAAATTATCAATAAGATAAACTTACAAGTTTACAATGATCATTTACACTAATATTATATAAAAACTCAAAAGAATATTTAGTGGAAACAGTATGCTTTGAGTAATACTCACATGCTACCTGATTGTTCTTGTAGTTAGGTCTACAAGCACAAGAGGTTTTTCTTTGAATTGACACAGGAGGAGTCCACAAACTTTACTATAGTAAGAAAATCATCTGTAGCCCAGTTTTCTTTCAGGGTTCAATGACATGAAAGGACTATGTTTGTTGGCTCTCACAGAGCCCTGGGTAGGTTAGAATTCAGGTCTCCCTACCCCCTGGAACAACTATCTTTTTCATCATGAAGTAGGTCCCGAGAAATCCAGATTGGCTTTGTCCTTTCATGTTGTAGCTGTCTATGACTGATTCTATTTGATAGAGTCACTAGGATTGCTCTAAATGATCATTTTCCAAAGTAGTGTCACAAAACATTTTCAAGTTGCTCCATAAAAAGAGAATTAAAGCATGTAACAGATACTTCCTACAGGATGTCAGACTTCCCTGATCCCCATTAAACTAGGTTGTCTGTTCTTGGGTAATGTTCTGTGGCCACCTACATCATTCGGTTGGGACAGTTGATATCCATATCACTGCCTAGACATGAGCTCTCTCTGGGCTGAAATAGTTGCCTAGCACTGAATTTGCAGCCCCTTGTCAAGTACCTAATTGGTGGTGAATTCTTGTACATGGATCAAATAAATAAATGGACAGATTATTTTCCTTCTTGGAATTCAGAGAATCCTAATTTTAGACTCTTAAGCCCAACATTAGGATTCTCTGAATATATTTATATAATGCCATTGGGTGGGGGCTAAGTTAAAATGAGCTGATGGTGTGGAAATCTACTAGGAAATGGACTTGGCCTAAGGAACTTAGTGATACATGTCCTAAATAACCTGTCAGGGAAGACCTGGATTTAGGGGACTGATTTGTAACAAATCCACATGGATTTGCTATCAAAACAAACAACTTAGAGATATAGATTCAATTCCCTATGAAAAAAATTTTAATTAAGTTACTTAAGATCAATGTGATGTGATAAAAAACAAGTCAAATATCTTTGAGGAAAAGGAGAGGATAAGTAGAAGTAGCAAGTAGAAAACAAGTAATGAAATAATAACAATTGGTAAAATAAGCTTTTTTAAAATAGTAGAAATCAGAAATGGTTGTGAGGTAATGATCACTATGAGCTGGTATTACAAGCAGAACAGTTTTCCACTGCTTTTGTTTTTGACATTCACTTAGTTTTGGGAAAAGTGGTACACTGGCTTTGGAGACCCAAGGAGAATGTAAAAATTCCACTAACCAATATTCAGGGAAAATGTGAGCATTAAATCTAAAGCCTGTATCTATTTCTTCAGCCAAATCAGTAAAGTGGAAAGATAATTAGAAGCTGCTGTAATAGAAGCTCTAAATATTACTTCTCTTGTAAAACTGAAGAAAAAACCCTTTCAGAGAAAAGTACAATACATGTGGAACAATGATCTGTCAGTTTTCATTTCGGTTTCCTTAGGAAAACTGCAGCCCATGAAAATAAGAGTGCTAGAAGCTAAATTTCAGTTCTTTTTTTTTTTTTGAACCCCAGAAAGAAGCCATTGCAAAGATCTCTGTTTACGTGTTACACTCTTTTTGTCGACTCTATAGGTCAAATGAATCATGTGCTAGTGATGGGAAAATTTGAATGTTTGCATTAGAAAATTATTTAATCATCCTCACTTTCAATATTATGATTTTCATAGGCCTTAGCAATTAAAGAAAGAATTGGCTATCCTGATGACATTGTTTCAGATGATAAAAAACTGAATGATGAATACCTCGCGGTGAGTCCCTACAAGTACTTTGAGCTAATGCTGCATGGGGTGGGTGGTGGTGACATTTCTCTCTGTGGGGTGCCAGCCATTGCTTGAAATGCTCCAAAGTCATGGGTCTTATTTTGTAAAGTCTTTCAACACTGAAGCCAAAAGTGTGTTTGTTTCAGTTCTTGGGCTTTTGTTTTATTGGCTTGGTGTGTACATGGTTTTTATTATTTTGGTTTCCATATATCCCATTTTAAGAGTAGTGAGAAAACACATGACCTTTTAAGAGCACCCAAGGTAGACACCCACGCATGCGCGGCAGGCAGCCTCCAGCTCCTTTTCCATCCTTCACAGACTTGAAAAGTCAGCTCTTCGGGTTTCTCTACTTCTTAATTATTCATCCTCTGTATAAGTCAGATTATGCCTCCTCTATTAAAAAGAAACATCTAATAATTAAACTGGGAAACATACTCTTTTGGAAATGTAGTAATGAAGAGAGTAGACAGTTAAAGTCACTATATAGTATCGATTTCAGGCATGGCTGGCTGTCCTCTTGATAAACTTGGGGTCACCACAATCGAAACTCACAATCACAATAAGGTGATCCCCACCCAGACCAGTGATGACAGTGATTTCTGCTCTACTGGTTGCTAGCGTAAGATTGGGGGTTAGAAACCTTCACTCCTCCCTTTGCATTTGCAGAAAGCTTTACTATTTCTTCTAAATGAACTCATCATGGCAGTGCCTAGTAGCTAAGAGGATAGCTTGAAGCCAAGTTGCTTGGGTTCAAATTTCACTCCACTACTTACTAACTTGGTAAGAGAATAGATTCCAAGGTAAAAGGGCTCCAAATCTCAGCTCCATAGATAGTGACTTTATTGTTTATGGCTCTATTTCCTCAACATTAAAGTGGTGATAACATACCGTGCTTGCAAGACTATTATAAGGATTAAAGAGTGTTTGTGTGTGTCACTAAGATAGACTGAAGTGATGATACAGCTAGGCAGCAATGACCTGTAATACAAAACTAGGCTAACCATAAAGATTGTTTCCAGGATACTCCAACACCCAACATACATTCACACACACACAGACTCAAGTCCCTTATATAAAATAGTGTAGTATTTATATATGCTCCCATATACTTCAGATCATCTTTGAATTACTTGAAATACCTAATGCAATGTAAATTCTTTGTACATAGTTGTTAAACTATATTGTCTAGGGAATAAAGAGAAGACAAAAAAAAAAAAAAGTGACAGATGCAACCATTGCAGACCCAACTATATAGTTGTATTTCCCACCCATGGTTGGTTAATTCCTAGATGTGGAATCCATGTATATCCTTCCTTGGAAGTTTTAATGTTATCTGTTAGCTTTATTAACTGATAGGATATAAGGAAAAACCCTATAGTTTTTAGTAAAAAATTTGAAAATACTGGTTTTAATACTTTTTTTCCTAAAAATCTTTTATGCAATATAGTTGAACTACAAGGAAGATGAATACTTTGAAAACATAATTCAAAATATGAAGTTCAGCCAAAATAAACAACTAAAGAAGCTTCGAGAAAAAGTGGACAAGGATGAGTATGTATATTTTGGTTTCTACTATGCTCGTTCTGAACAGGGCCTTTTCCCTTCTCCTTACTGACTTAGATAAAGACTCTTATTTAGAATAATGGCAAAAATACAGTGTCTACCTTCAATTGAGAACAACTGAGAGCATCTAAACTTACTATATTAACAATAGACTAGAAATTTAACCAAATTTAAAATCTATTCATTAGACTGCCCTCAAAATAGCTCATTTCTTTCCTTTCTTCTTTTCTATTGCCTGTCCCTCCATTTTGTTTGTGATCAAGGTTCTCAGGAACACCTTAGCCTAAATTACCCAGAGGTCTTGAATCCTCTGAGGCTTTCCTCACTGTTCTCAGAACTTTCTTCTACACACAGACACACCTGCTTTTTACCAGGCATCCCACAACACCATCTCCTTCCTACAAGATCCAAGTAACACTTTCCTCAGCCCATGATAGCAAATCTGAGATACCTGGAATTCTCTCATAGCTTTCAAACTTTCTTGCTCTCTGTTTATTCGTGGTATTAGTACTTCACACTACTAATTTAATGCTTGTTTTTTGACTAAATGGCTGTGCTCAGCATATTTGTCAGCATAAAGCATGTGTATTTATTTGTACACATCAAGCCTCTATTGCTGTTTTCTTACTAGGTTTTTGGCTCCTAGACAACGGGAACTACTCCTTTTGACTCTAAACCATACAGTGCTTTAGTTAAAACGATAAATGAATGAGTGAGCAAGTGAAAAATAGTTACACTAGGTTGGTTTGTGGCACACACCAAAGAGTGAGTGAGTGCCTGCTTCATTTATGTCTGCATTCATTCTTTTTTCCATGTGTCTATTTATTAATTAGCCTAACATTTTGGAATAATAAGTCCAGGTGTTGTTGGTTATAATTGGCATATCGGGTTATAATTATATTATATTGCTTTGTGCTAAAACAGTGGAAGATAGACAAGACATGATATAATAACTGTGTCTCCAGGAGGAAAATGTGCTCTTAGGTACAAAGTACAGTGGGACTTCATTGTCCCACAGAGTTGTTCTATTCCATAACATTTTAGTGGAAATACTAACACATTTCAATCCTGTGAAACATTTTGGACTCTTTAACTGCCTTGAAAGAAAGACTGCTTTCTTTTGCTGACCTCTGGGTTATACTGGAGCAAATGTGTTGTCTGGTGCTGCAGATGGGGGTGTGGGTTAGGTTTCCTAACTGGGAAAGCAGAAAGTACAGTGGGTGCTCATGGTTGGTGCTCCTATCAGTTATCAAATGACTTCTCTAGAAAGGTACAAAAGACCATTACAAAGGATATTCTGTGGGTAAAGTTATAATTGCAGAAGTTTCTTCTAAATTGGGATATTTTTCCTAATATGTTTGAATGCTCATGAATTTATATTTAATAATTACTAACACTGGGTAAAATATCAACAGACAAATATTATCAAAATTCTTTCTAAAATGGCTAAAATAACCTAGACCCATATGAGACCAGAAGATTTCTTCATAATTTTAAAAATTAGGAATTATTGTTTGATGTTTTCTTTCGAAGCTGATATGGCCTGAGTTTCACAATCATTTGACATAGTTTGCACTTTTCATTCCCTTTCATCACGTGTTGATTTTCAGTCCTTTTCTCTTTGTGGTACAGAACCCAAGCCCAGGTTACATACAATATG